TAAGGCTGCTGAAGCCTGCACGCCTAGAGCCTATGCTCTCCAACAAGAGCAGCCACCGAAGCCCACACACCGCAACAGTGAGTTGCCCCCAGTCGCCACAAGCAGAGGAAGCCCAAGTGCAGCAAAGACTCGGCGCAGCCAATAAATAAACGGGAAAAAAAATCAAACTGATACCAGAAAAGAAAGCACGCATACAGTCCCTGCTCCCATCCAGTGAGCTCTTCAAATATACTCCCAACTCTGTGCTAACCCCATTTCCCTCCCTCAGCCATGCCTTCGGAATTTCAGAAAAACTTGCTTTGTGTGTGTGTTTTTTTTTTAATCTAGAATTAAATTTCAAAATGCAGCCATTAAAAAATTATCTCAAGAAAGGATTATAAAAAGCATAGGGGGAAAAAAAAAAGCATAGGGATTATATTTGGGGAAGATTCTAAATAAGCCCTAGAATAGTTACCTGAAACAAGTAACACTGCTTGGAAAGCCTATCTTCAGAGAGAAGATGAAAAGGTCCTAGTAAAATATATTAAGACAATTAACAAGAAGAATGCAAGTTATATTAACTATGAGGATAAATTGAAAAATCTTTTCCTCATTAAGGCAAAACACAAAACACTAGCCCTATCTATTTAAAAATGGTCTTTCACGATTTTCCCATCAAAAGAGGATTAAATTAGACATCTAAAAATCATAAATCTCTCTCCTAAGGGTTAATGCTACTAAGAAAACAACTTCGATTCTGCTGAATCAATAATCACCAACTCCCACAAGTGCACTGTGGAATCACTATAAATCATTTTTCTGTTAACAAGAAAGCATTCACTATTTTAAAATTAGGAGATTACAGCCAGTTGATGAAACAAGTATGTCCCTTTGTACTGATAAACTATATTAAAAGGTATGACTAAATCAAGCCCTAAGAAATTAAAGACAGAAGCAAGCTCACTGTTTAAAGAAATGTATAGTAAATTTTTAAAGAATGCCTTTTGTAAAGACGATAGGCATCTAACTTATTTGTTTGGTAAATCTGACTTAGCAAAAAATAAAGGGAGGGCTTTATTTAAAATGCCATATACTAAGCAACTTTACTTCACTCACTTCTTTATCATTGGAGAAGGAAATGGCAACCCACTCCAGTATTCTTGCCTGGAGAATCCCAGGGACAAAGGAGCCTGGTTGGTTACGACTGAAGTGACTAAGCAGCAGCAGCACACTACTTTCCCTTTACCAAGGACAGCTGCTGGTTTGCACCAAAAATATCAGGTATCTGTTATATAATAAATAGCTAATAATGGGGCTAACAGTATCCCATAATTAATGGAAAGAAATTTATTATTAACTGAAGGCTCTGGTATGCCTGAGCTAAATTACTCTTTCGGGATCATACATATTCCAATTGCAGAAGCGTGTGCACCACTGAGCTCTAATTTATCGGCATTTGTTTTCAGAACTTTTGATCTCTAGCTAACTAGGTAGCAGTGATTCCCAAGAGACTCAGAATATCACCACCTGTACTCAAGGACCACCTGCCAGGATCCAGAATTCTTTGTTTACTCAAATTCAAGCTGTGGGTTATTTGTTACACCAAAATCCACACAGTTCAAACAAACAAAAAATTTCCCAAAAGAGTGTCTCAGAATGAAGTTGGTCCTCAGGCCAAACAGCCAAATCAGCTGAAAACAATACAGTAACACTGCAGAACCCTGACCGTTCCCAGAACCACACATTCTCAGAGGTTAGGCTTGGGAAATCTACATTTTAAAATCAATTCCTAAATTACTACTGCTGGAGGGCATCAGCTTGTCTCAGAGGAGCAGGTCAAAGACCTGGTCAGTATAGACTTTTTTGCCTTTTGTCTGACATATTGGCTTTTTTGGGAGGTGGAGAGGGGAGAAAAAGATTCTGCTACAAAACAAGACTGAAGTAATGCAGTAACTTTTATACTTACTAATTAAAAGAAAAAAATAGCTATTTCTTTAGAAATAAAGATTCTCATTTGCAAAACGAAGTCATAGCATGGTCTTTTTGTTATAAGGTGTCAAAAATAATATTTATTGAAAATGAGTTGGATATTTAGCCAACATTTACTGAGCAGTTACGTGGGGCACTGTGCTAAGTCTTTAATGCTTTGTCTTACTGAATATTTCAACTGACCTATGAGACAAATACTATTATTATCCGTAGTATCTCATCAGGAAACTAAGGTTTCAGAGTGGTTAAGTAACTTCTTTAAGGCCACAAAGCTAATATTTAATGGAACCAGGGCTTGAACCTAGGTTTGCAAGATTACAAAGTTTAATCATTATAAGACAGGGCCTCAAGTTGCACCCAGGAATTCACTCTGCAAACAGGCAAAGACTGACGTGAAGTTTTCTGTCCTACAGTGGTATGCCATACTCTAATACCGAGACTGGCACACAGCAGAGGCCACCGCAATGAGAAGTCTGAACACCACAACAAAGAGTAGCCCCTGCTCACCACAACTAAAAAAAAAAGCCCACACAAAAGCAATGAAGACCAGCAGAGCAAAAACTAACAAATCAATAAAAAAAAAAAAAACTACGAGTCCCTTTAAAAACTAGAAAAAACAAATATTACATCCAGAAGTGCCAAGAGATGGCAGAACAAAAGAGAAAACAGTAGCTTATCAGGAAGGGAATCATCCTGGAAATGAGTGTTACTGGCTCCTCAATTCCTACACATTTATGATCTAGGAATAACGGAAGCCAAATAAATCTAAGACCTTCACGACACTCATAAACAGTGTTGGGAATGATAAAGGATGGTAAACATAACAACACAATTCAGCAAAAAAGTAGGAAGTACCAAAGGGCAGGACCCTAACAATTAAACACTACAAGGAATATAACCACATAGGACAGAAAGGAGTCAGAGAAGACAGTGATCACTAGGAGCTAATCCAGGGATTGAAGAAAGACTTCACCTCAGACAGACCAGGAGGTTTGAGCAGGTGATTCTCAAGACTCAAGAGACAAGATTGGAATTGTGATGTTCAATTCAAGCCTCAGGGTAACGTCTTCTACAAATACTTTCAAGAAATGAAATAAGTGTTACAGTGTCTGTCATTTATTTGCACAATAAGTAAATAAATTTGAGTTAAGTACAAACTAAGGCACAGAAATTAAATAATTTGCCTCAAAAGTGAGATTCAAAAAAGTTATTGACTTGCAGCCCAATGTTCTGCAGACAACATGGAACTCCACTTCTATAAAAGCTGGAGTTAGTGGAAGCAGGAAATAATCAATAGAGATATCCACGTGGTTGGAAACCTTTGGATGAAAGCAACCAAGAGATTAGAAATATCAGGGAAGTAAAAATCCCTTTTATTAAAAAAAGCTGCCTTGCCCGGCAGGAGCTAAACTTTACCCAAGATCCACAAGGACTTTAAGATAAGCCTGAGAAAAGGAGAGCACAGTGACCACAATGCTGCCCAACATAAGAGCTGACATGATACAAGGGCAGGAGGAAGAAACAAGCCGGTTCTCACAAAGTTCAGAAGCAGTTCAATGGAAACTCCAAAAATGAAAATCTCACTCAAGCAGAGAGGTGAAAGAAGTGACAAGTGGAATAAACATTTACTTAAGAGTCTATTACTGCTCTTCTGGGTGTTGAGGCTACAGCAGTGAAGAGAACAAAAAGGGGGAAACGTTGCTGGTACAAGGGGGGAAAAAAAGTGGCAGGGGAGGTTGGGCGGGACGGGTGGAAGGGAGAATGAACACTTTGAAGCTGCAAGTGAGAGATGGAAGTGCGGCGATCCGGCTAAAGCTTCCGAGTGGCACACTCCAGTTAGGAGTTGGGTTTGTGAGTCATCTGTAAATTACAAGGTGCCTCCCCAGAGTTGTGGGAATTCAAGGAGATAACGCGGAGAACCAGAAACCGAGTCGCCAGGGTTTGGCGCTAGTACGCTAGTAAGAACTGTCTTTTTAATATTTTCTCTTCCTGTCCTTTAAAGCCCAGTAACAGCGCCCGGGATGCCGACTGAAGCAATCAATGCAAGAGAAAACGACTAGACGGATGAATGAAAGAGCGGCGAAAAGAGGGCAGAAATCTCAAGGAGGTGGTTCCCCGATTCCTGAAACAGACCTCCCGGCGGGAGCACATGGGGGAACCGGGGGAGAGCCCGCCGGGCACTGGAGGCTGCGGTGGAGACCGGGTGGGGGTTCCCCCCCGGGCAACCGCGAAGCGCCCCGTCGCGCCTCGAGGGAGCGTCACACCGGACAGGAAGCGCGGTGACGGGGGGAGGGGGGCGCCGAGGGACGCGCCGCCCGGAGAGGGAAGGAACGGAGAAGGGCCGGGTGAGGAAACCGGAGGCCGGCGCCTAGGGAAGGGGGGAGGCACCGGCCCCCCTTTTACAGAAGTCGCCTCATATCCCCGCGCGCGGGGACCGTTTGGCCGTAACCGCCTCCCGTCCCGGCGCCCGTACACCTAGCCGGCCTTCGCCCTGCCACTGCCGCCACATCTCGCCCTCAACTCCCGCCCCAGCTTGCGCTTGGCTTGAACCCCGCGCCTCAGTATCCCCGCCGACTCGGCCCGCTCCGCACCTCACACACGGACCGCCGGCGGCAGCCGCCATCTTCGCGCGCGCGCGCGCCTTAGCCCCGCCCCCAGACGCCACGCCCACGTGACAGCGCGCTTCCAGGGCGTGGACCGGGTTTTCGTCACGTGACTGCGGGGCGGAGCCAACATGGCGATGCCAGGATAGGTGAGGAACTCCGGGCAGGCGCGGCCGAAGCTGTGAGGGAGGTGGCGGAGAGAAGACGTCTACGCCGTGAGTGGGAGGCGGTGGAGGATAGCCTGACGCCAACTCCCAGGCGGCATAGAGTGGCCTACAGTGGAGCTTCCCTTCTGGAGGGAGCTGGAGAACGGAGAAAGAAGGTGCTGGCAAGGCGAAGCTACCGCTGTCTGCCGGGCGGGGATTAAAGGGCCAGAGTCCAAGGCATCCCTGGTCACCCCGGTTTTCCGTGGGTCCAGAGTCTAGAGACATGACCCGAGAGTGCGCTCCCCCGACCCCTGAGTCCGGGGCTCCGCTGAGTGGGTCCGTGCTAGCAGAGGCGGCGGTGGTGTTCGTAGTGGTGCTGAGCATCCACGCAGCCGTGTGGGATCGATACTCGTGGTGCGCCGTGGCCCTCGCGGTGCAGGCCTTCTACGTTCAGTACAAATGGGACCGGCTCCTACAGCAGGGAAGCGCGGTCTTCCAGTTCCGAATGTCCGCGAACAGTGGCCTATTGCCCGCTTCGGTGGTCATGCCTTTGCTAGGACTGGTTATGAAGGAGCGCTGCCAGGCTGCGGGGAACCCATATTTCGAGCGGTTTGGAATTGTGGTGGCGGCCACGGGCATGGCAGTGGCCCTCTTCTCCTCAGTATTGGCCCTGGGCATCACTCGCCCTGTGCCCACCAACACCTGCGTCATCTCGGGCTTGGCTGGAGGCGTCATCATTTACATCATGAAGCACTCGCTGAGTGTTGGCGAGGTGATCGAGGTCCTGGAGGCCCTGCTGATCTTCGTGTACCTCAACATGATTCTGCTGTACCTGCTGCCTCGCTGCTTCACCCCCGGAGAGGCGCTGCTGGTCCTGGGTGGGATCAGCTTCATGCTCAACCAGCTCATCAAGCGCTCTCTCACTGTGGTGGAAAGCCAGGGGGACCCCTTGGACTTCTTCCTGCTCGTCGTGGTGGTAGGCATGGTGCTGATGGGCATCTTCTTCAGCACCCTCTTTGTTTTCATGGACTCGGGCACCTGGGCCTCTTCCATCTTCTTCCACCTCATGACCTGCGTCCTGGGCCTCGGCGTGGTACTGCCCTGGCTGCACCGCCTCATCCGCAGGAACCCTCTGCTCTGGCTCTTTCAGTTCCTCTTCCAGACAGAGACCCGAGTCTGCCTCCTAGCTTATTGGTGTCTGCTGGCCACCATGGCCTGCCTGGTGGTTCTGTACCAGAATGCCAAGCGGTCATCTTCCGAGTCCAAGAAGCACCAGGCCCCCACCATCACTCGAAAGTATTTCCACTTCATTGTGGTAGCCACCTACATCCCAGGGATCATCTTGGACCGGCCCCTGCTCTACGTGGCTGCCACCGTGTGTCTGGCTGTCTTCATCTTCCTGGAGTATGTGCGCTACTTCCGCATCAAGCCCCTGGGCCATACCCTGCGAAGCCTTCTGTCCCTCTTCCTGGATGAACGAGACAGTGGGCCGCTCATCCTGACCCACATCTACCTGCTCCTAGGCATGTCTCTTCCCATCTGGTTAGTCCCCAGGCCCTGCACACAGAAGGGTAGCTTAGGAGGAGCCAGGGCCCTGGTGCCCTATGCAGGCGTCCTGGCAGTTGGTGTGGGTGACACTGTGGCCTCCATATTTGGCAGCACCATGGGGGAGATTCGCTGGCCTGGAACCAAAAAGACTTTTGAGGGAACCATGACATCTATATTTGCCCAGATCATTTCTGTAGCTCTGATCTTAATCTTTGACAGTGGAGTGGACCTGAACTACAGTTATGCTTGGATTTTGGGATCTATCAGCACCGTATCCCTCCTGGAAGCCTACACTACGCAGATAGACAATCTCCTTTTGCCTCTCTACCTCCTGATATTGCTGATGGCCTAGCTGCTGTGCATTAGTGATGGAGGCAGCAGGGACATGGGGAGGACCAACGGTCCCCAGAGCAGCCAGCCACTTGGGTTTGAAGAGCCAAGATGGGGAGAAGGAAATTTAATTTTTCAACTGATTCAGATTTAAAATAAAAATCAAAGCACTCCTGGTTTTAGTTTTGCTGATATTTAAAAATGCAGAGAGACTTAAAGTCTAGTCCAACAGCTCAGAGAGTTTGAGTGTGCTATAGGGCCCCTGCCTTGCAATCGTTGAGGGGCCAGAGTAGACTCTGGACGCAGTAGGGCAGAGGGGTTAACACTTCAGGTTCTGGTGTCAACTCATGCAGTCAGAATACTTGGCTGAATCACTTCTTAACTCTGTGAGTCACTTAATCCCTCTGGGTCTCACTGCTCCTATCTGCATGCAAGATGGGAATAATAGACCCTGCACCTTATGGGGTGAGGGTCTGGTGAAGTGACGTGGATGAGGTGTCCAGCCCAGGGCCTGCACATAAGTGCACAAGGGCCACATCAGTGAGGGACAGTGTCTTTGTTACCCAAGACCAGTCATTAGTTCAGCAAAAAGCCAAGCAAACCAAAGGGTTATATGGGTTGTACTTGGAAAGTAGAATGACCCTCCTTCTCTGGCTTCAATCAGAGGAGAGTCCAAGAGGAAAACAGCCAAGTGCATGTGCTTTCTCCCATTTGGCCTAGGAAAAGCTGAGGGGGAGAGAGGGCATCTGTTTCTTGCATCCCTGGAAGGGCTGGAGGAAGAGGATCCCGTCCTGGACTGACTCCCTGTTTCAGCCAACCCCACCCTGCCTCAAGCCCTCTACTGCCCGGCTGAGTGGTTCTGATGATGGACAGGCTGGACAGCACAGGATCCTTGTCCAAGTCCCTCCTGAGACTTCTTTGCCCTTCTGTCACATCCACACCTGTGTGGGTCTCTTCTCTGAGCGAGGAGGTAGAGCCAAGGGGACTGGTAAAGCTTACGGAGTGCTCAGACTCGCTCTGCTGGGGAAGCCAGGGGTAGGCATGTTCCAGCCTCGCTCTCTGAGGGCAGAGTCCAGGCTGCGTGGTTCCCCACTGTATCCCCCGGTGCCCACACAGCCTGGCAGGTGGACGGAACTCAGCAGACCTTCGTTGAGTGGATGAACATTTCCCATCAGTGAGAAGATAGCACAGCAGGTTTCTCAAAGGTTCTGCCCACTTCTTGCCAGCCTAACAGGGAGGGGCCTAGCAGGAAGAGGTGAGAACTCTGCCCCACCAAGGCTGGAAGCCAGCATCCTGGCGCTGGAAGCTTGTGCCTGGGCATCACCAGCAGGCCCTTTCTCTCAGAGGAGGGTATTGAGACATTCCTTCTGGCCTCAAAGAAGCATTAAACCTATCCCTTTGCTCAGACTGCTGCTACTGCTTGGCTGAAGGAGGCAGCACCATGTTGGGGCGCAGAGTATACGAGTGCTGCTTTGCCTCCTGGCTCCCAGGTGGCCTTGGTTTGTCCACATGTACAGCAGGGGTCGGGAGTCAAGGTCATAGAATCCTGAGGCTTCTGAGACCAGACAGGTTACACAGTGAGAGAGGGCGGGGAAGGGAAGGGAAGAGCACACGTGCCTGTAAGGACCAGCTCCAGCCAGCGGTCACCTGGGCTGGACCATAGGCCTGGACTATTGACCCAGGCTATTGACCTGCTCATTCAAGGCAACTTAGAAACATGGATCGTTATGTGAAATCTCTCAGCTTTAAAAAGTTGTGGGTTGGTTTGTTTGTTTGCTTTAATGCTGAGGCCCAGACAGAACACTTCTGCATTGTGAAATCAGCTGATGGCCCCCAGTTTGCAACCACTGGGCCAAACCCCAGCCAAGCAGGTTTGGGATTTGGTAATTGTTCCTGCAGATCTGGGTGCCTATCAAGTATGCCCAAGAAGAGGAGGCCCTAGTCCAGCCCTTTGGTGGGCTCAGAGAGAAGGGCCTGGCCTGAGCTAGAAAGCGACCAGAATCTAAGACTGGATTCCAGGCTCCAGTAGAACTGGGAGCGTAGTGGTCAGAGCACAGACCGTGCATCCGGCTGACCTCGCCGAACACCTGAACGGGTGTGGGACTTAGATCACTTAACCTTCCCACGTGTCAGCTCCTTCTGTACACAGTGCCTGCCTGAAAGGGGTGAGGATCCAGTGAGTAAGCACAGCAAACTCCTGGCACCATGAATGCCCACAGAATGTCACTGACTGTTCCCCACCAGGCAGGGCTGGACCACATGGGATGCCTCTTACCAGGGCTCTCCTCTTGAGAGCAAGGCAGCCTGGAAAAGGAGGAGCAAGATGCATTCGGAAGTCATGTTTATTCAGTGTCTCCCAACATACTGACCAAGACTTCCATCTGAGAGGGGAGAAGATGGAGAAGCTGACAGAGAAGCAGTGAGAATCCTTTTCGTGGCTGTGAGGCTGCCTCTTGGGAGAGGTTGTGTTGGGGCAGGGAGAAGCAGAGAGAGATGTCGGGAAGGGCACCCAGCCCGGGCTCAAGCTGCCTGGCAACCACCTCGTGCCCGCCTGTCTTCAGAGACACCGACATGAGGAAAACCCTGGAGGAGAGACATGGCTTCTCTGTTGAGGCCAGGCGGTCGGGCGAGGCACTGGTGTTGGTGTCCCGCAGCTTCACCCAAGAGCGGACGTGTCCCCGCCCTGAGAGGGCCTTTAGATGTACAGTGGGGGAAAGGGCAGCTCGGGGGTCGGCTGGAGCCTGCAGAGGATGGGGAGGGGGAAGACCTTGAGGGGCCAGGAGCACTGTCCAGGGCCTCCAGGGCAGGCCTGTTCGGGAGCTGTCTGGGGCACACAACAACCCTGCCACCTACCAGTTATCTGGGCTCCAGACGGTGCCAGCGGCCTCCATGAGGTGGAAAGTGTAGGCCTGGCGCGAACGGTCAGAGAAATTCCGCTCGCTCTTGTGCACCACTTCTCCATGGATCAGGACGAGGGCCCCTGGCAGGGACACAGCAGGTCAGGAGAGCACTCAGGGCAAGAAGGGACATGGTGGGCAGTCCCCTCCCTCAAGCGGTGGTGTGGCTTCTTCGTCCCCCTCCTCATCCCAGGAACCTCAGGGGCCTGGAGTCTGCCCCCGGTTGGCGGCTGTGCGGTTGGACGTGGGTTCCCCCAGGATCAAGTCCTTCCACCGTGGCCCGCACCCTCGCAAGCCTCGGCAGTGGCATTGCCTTCTGCGGCATTTCCAGAACCAGGCAGAAGCCAGCTGGGGCCTCACCTGGGAACACAGCGTTGGAACTCAGTTTCCCTTTTCTAAAAGAAAGGGTGTGGGACTTCCCTGGTAGTCCCGTGGTTAAGAATCTGCCTTCCCATGCAGGGGACGCAAGTTCAATCCCTGGCTGGGGAACTAAGATTTCCACGTGCCCCAAGGCAGCTGCCTGCATGGCGCAACTCCTGAGCCCACACGTCATAACTGACATCCAATGCAACCAAATAAATATTAATATAAAAATAAGAAATAAAAGGAAGTGTGCTGACAACCAGGATTTCTGAGCACTTGTGCACCATCTCACACATGACATCTCACTGGCTTCCCCACTTGATGTTTGGGGAAACAGGCTCAGAGGGTTTCAGTCATTTGCTCTTAGAAACAATCTGGAAGTAGCAGCATCTGGATTCCAGCCCAGCCTGGGGGACCCTGGTGTCAGCCACACAGCTTTCAGTCCTCGCAGTGCCCACCTGACCTTCCCTCCTGCTGTGACTCCCCAGCCCTCAGGTCAGCTGGGTGGTCAGATCTGGCACAGACCCCTGGGCATGGCCCCCAGGCCCTCCTCCCTGCCCTCTGCACCCGCCCCCTACCTCTCAGCACTGGTGTGGGCACAAAGAGGCTGTTATCCCGGGTTGGCTCCGACCCAAGGAAGCTGGTGCCAGGCGCCGAGCCAGCAGGGGCCCGGACCATCCTTCTCGACACTCCACCTGCAGGCCAAAGTGAGGCCTTCGGCCTCTCGTTTCCAGGTCCTTCTCCCATGGGGGCGGGGGGGCTTCCCAGGTGGCTCAGTGGTAAAGAACCCGCCTGCTGATGCAGGAGACATGGGTTCAATCCCTGGGTTAGGAAGATCTGGAGTAGGAAATGGCAACCTGCTCCAGTATTCTTGCCTGAAAAATCCCATGGACAGAGGAGCCTGGTGGGCTATACTCCATGGGGTCGCAAAGAGTCCAACAGGATCAAACACATACGTGCACATTCATGGAGAGTGAGGACGAGTGAGCAGGCAGAGGCAGGTGGCCTCACCTCTGTGGGAGCCAGGGATGAACCAGAGGCAGCCGTTCTCCAGCGCGGCGTCTTCCAGCGCGATCCACAGGCCCAGCACCCGGCCCAGGGGCTCCGTGTACAGGAAGGATGCGTCCTGGTGAGGGGTGACTGCAGCAGGCCCACCTGGGCGTGAGAAGCCCCACCTCGCCTCACCTGGGCCCCAATTCTGCTCACTCCCCAGTCCTCCCACGGCCCTCCAGTCTTCCCAGGAGCAGTTAGAATCTACCCACTTCCTGGGCCGGAGACTCTGGGCAAGAGAGATCACCTCTCAAAACTTCAATTTCCTAAACCATAGAGCAGTCCCTATGATAACCTAATTTTGTGAGATTGCTGAAGAATCCCATGAGACAATATGTGCTCGACGTTGTAACTGCAGCCTGAAACGCAGCGGCTATTGTTTCACGGCAGCAGGTGACTCAAGCTGCTGTCCTTAGGCAGGGAGGGCACCTCGGCCACCAGATGGCCCAGTGTAAGCCCCCGGGGGCGGAGACTGAGAAGTAGGGTGCGAAGCAAGGGACGGACACAGCATCCCCCTTGTGAACAACCCCTGCATGATGCTGGGGTCCAGGCCACCGAGGAAGACCACTCAACAGAGGAACTGAGTCTGTAATAACAAAAGTGGGTGCTAGTCTCGCCAAAAGCGGGTGATAGTCCTTTCCCAAGGAACTGTGTACTTTCTGAACACCAAACTTTAAGAGGGGCTTTGACAATCCAGTGTCCAAACAAAGGTGTCCTAATGGTGGGGGCCCCAAAACACTGGGAGGAGGAAAGGCTGAAGGAGCTGGGGGTGCCGGATTAAGCAGAGATGGCTCAGGGAGAGGATGGTCACCTCCGGGAGACTGTCCTTGGGCTTGATGGTGGAGAGGAGGGGGCCTCACAAAGGACTTGGGCTTATGCAGGAAGGGAAGAGCTGCCTGCAGGGGAGTGAGCCCTCTGTCACTGGAGGTATGTGAGAGAAGGGGATCATTGCCCATGAGGGAAGTGGGAAAGGGTAACTGTGATTCCAGCAGGTGTGTAATCAGATCAGCAATTTCTATGCTGAATCAGCCCTCCAGGGAACTTGGTAAAATACAGATTCCCAGGCCCTTGGTTCCCTCAAGATCTCAGGGAATGGGGCCCAGGAATTTGTATTTTTAACCCACAAGGGGTTGCTGCCAGGTTTGGGAACCACTGTGTCAAGGATTCCGGGACCCCCACCCCCCACCCCACCAGTTCACTCTGGAAGTAGCAGAGGAGGCTGGTCCCTCGGGGGCCCTGACAATGATTGATGTCCCAGATCTCCAGCCATGACCTTTGCCAGGGCCCCCAGCCTGCTCTTGGCTCACCTTCGCCTCCGAAGTGAGGTTGCTGCAAAAGAGAGGAGGGGCCAGGTCATCTCAGTGGGATGCTCCTGCCCCCACCACAGGTGTTTCTCCCAGTCTTCCCGTCGGCAACCAGCACCTTCTGTGCCAGCCCAGGAGGGCTGCAGACAGAAAAACAACCCTGTCCAGTCGGAGCACGCCTCCTCCAGGACTCCTTCAGACTCCTCTGGGAAGAGAAGACTCACGTGCCTAACAAGAACGCAAGGCAGGGGGCTTCCCCAGTGGTCAGGCAGTTAAGAATCCGCCTTTCAATGCGGAGGATGTGGGTTTGATCCCTGCTCAGGGAACTAGGATTCCACATGCCACCGAGCAACTAAGCCCACGCACTGCAACCACTCAGCCCATGTGCCACTATAAGGACTTGATGCAGCCAAAAGTAAAATTAGCTTGTTTTTTTTTTTTTAAAGACACAAGGCAGAAGTGAGGGCAGCAGGAGATACTGGGGCCCAGACCAGCAGTTAAGCCTCTAGGCTTCAGGGTCAAAGATGAGTCCTCTCTTCCCCAGGGAGTTGGAAGGCTTCTTGGAGGAGGTGGCACTGAGCTGGGCCTTGAAAGCTGGAAGCAAGGCATTTCAATAGCCAACAAAGGGAGGAGGCAGCCCTCAGGGCCCCTTCCCTTCTGCTGCCAAATTGTAACTGAGCACCAAGGAAGTGCCAGATATCCTAACCAGGGGAAACCAATTTCCATGTTCTCTTGCCCACTGAGTAGTGGGGAGACAGCTTGTGGCCCTTGTAAGGAGGGGCTGGTTTAAGCACTGTGCCCATTTTACAGAGGATAAACTGAGGCCCGAGGAAGACAGGGCACTCACCTTAAAGATATACATGCTCTGCACAACCACAGGCATCTGGAGGCCCAGACTTCTGGCCAAAGCCTGGAAGGGGGCAGAGGTCACACAGCCAGCCTGCCCACACTCACATCTGACCTACCTGCCCACCCTCGCAGACACCTCTGCTCACCTGCACCTTGGGGGAGTGTGTGACGCACCTGAAGATGGGGTCATGGGCATGCAGGGCTGTGGGACAAAGGTGAGATGAAGAGCCAGTCCCCAGTCCCCAGGCCCTCCCGGGCCTAGGCCTGCGCACCCAGGATCAGGCTTCACTCTGATGTTCTCCGCTATTTTCTCTGCATTAAGCTTTCTGCTTGTTTATAACCGAGGAGTGGAGAGCAGGGCCCAAGAGGGAGCCTGCACCCAGAAATGCTATCTGTTGGGCTACTAACTTACTGAGTGCTTTTGAGGAAGGCCCCCCAACTCTTCAGACCTTAGGTTCCCCCAAGGCTCTGCTTACCATGGCCAATTTTGTTGATAGATTTCTCTGGTGGGACCAGGAAATTTCCTGTGGCACAAAGAACAGGTCAAGGCAGAAGAACTGGAATCCAGCTACCCGCAGACAGCTGGCCTCAGTGCACCAACCCCCCAGCCCCCGGGGGGCAGACACCCAAATCCAGCCAGTCTAGGGTACCAGTTCCAAACCTTGTTTATCAAAGACGCCTTTCTCAAAGAAGAATCGGATCTTGTCACCGCTGCTTAAGAAATAGTCTGTGCTGCCCTGTGGAGAGGGGACATCAGAGGGACTGAGAGAGCATCCCGTGGTCACAGGTGGGCCTGGCAGAGAGGGAAGAGGATTCAGATGCCCCCCAACCCTGCACCCAGCACAGAGCTGCAGACTCCACTGATGCTTCTCAGACTTGTTCACTGCAACACAGACAGTGAACTGGAAACCCGAGGGCCTGACAGCCCAGTCTGAGCTATAAGCACGGAATTTTTTTGAAATTTTTTTAAATTTAATTAATTAATTTGTCTGCACCGGGTCTTAGTTGTAACACACGGGATCTTTTTTCTAGTTGTGGTATGTGGGCTCTTAGTTGCGGAATGTGGGATCCTAGTTCCTTGACCAGGGATCGAACCTGGGCCCCCTGCATGGGGAGCATGGAATCTTACTACTGGACCATCAGGAAGTCCCCCTGGAAACCTCTTAATAAATCACATGACTCATACCCGATAATGGCATGATCAAACAGGCCTGGTTCCCAGGGAGCTCTGGGCCACCTGGGAAACCCTGGAGTTAAAATACTGGGGTTCAAATCCCAGCTCTGCCACCAATGGGCTGTGACCATAATCACATTACTGAACCTCTCTGGGTTTGGTTTCCTCATAAAATACACAGGCTATTAAAAGCACCTATCTCATAGGGTGTTGTAGCAATTATGTTGTTCAGTTGGAGACTGAACAAGAACAACATATATAAAGCACTAGAACAGTTGCTTGGAATGTTGTGTCATGTGACTATCTGCCTCTTATTATTATTATTATTATTTTTATCATTGGGCTTCCAGGTGGCGCAGTGGTAAGGAATTCACCTGCCAATGCAGGAGATGTGGGTTCTATCCCTGAGTGGGGAAAGATCTCCTGGAGAAAGAAATAATGGCAACCCACTCCATTATTCTTGCCTAGAAAATCCCATGGACAGAGGAGCCTGGCGGGCTACAGTTCATGGGGTCACAAAGAGTCGGACATGACTGAGCATGTACATGCACACACACACACATCTGGCTCTAGAACAGTCCTTGGAATGTTGGTGTCATGTGAATCTCTGCCTTTATTATTATAGAAAACACTCAGTGAGGGCATGGATAAATCCTCTATAAATATAAGCTATTACTAATCTTTTTCTTAATAACTGTTCCTTGTTAATTTTAATATCATATTTCAAGTTTCTTAGCATCATATGAAAATTGTGCTCCAGGAAGATGTCCCACACAAAGATGTGTGGCTTTGGTCACACATGATCACCATGCCGTATATATATGAACACACACAATGAAAAGTAAAAGTGAAAGTGTAAGTTGCTCAGTTGTGTCCAACTCTTTGCAACCCCATGGACTGTAGCCTGCCATGCTTCTCTGCCCATGGAATTCTCCAGACAAGGATACTGGAGTGGGTTGCCAACTCCAAGGGATCTTCCTGACCCAGGAATCGAACCCCAGTGTCCGGCATCGTGTGCAGATTTGTTACTATCTGAGCCACCAGGCAAGCCCATACACGATACACATATATACATAATCTTCCTTCCAGGTAGGGGCATTGGTGTCACTCAACTGTGCTTATGTCACCATGGAAGGAAGATTGTATATACACAACACACACACATATATAATCTTCCTCCCTGCATGGTGACTTAAGGGCAGTTGAGTGATGCCCTTACCTGGGTTCCCAGGTGGCACAAGCCCCCCTCCCCCTCACCTGAACACATCTGCTATCGCAGATGCCTGCCTGGCTCAACTCAATGACTCACTGTGGTTCTCTGAAAACTTTGAAAGCTTCCTACTGAACACTGAAAGGTTTATTCCAACATTCTCAGCTCCTCTGTACTAGGATCAGAGTGAGGGAAACAAGTCTGGGAAGCATAATTGCTAATAATATTAAAGACAGTGATGCTACATGAGTGTCAACATTGTTACTTTAACTCAGTAATTCACAAAGGAACCAGCTACATGTTCAAAGGAGAATCCCAAGAACCACACAAATAGAGGCAATGAGAAACGCTGAAATGAATTTACAGATCAATGCAAAACCGATATAGCCACAGAGGCAACCAATAATTGCATCCTGCCAGACCCAGTTCATGCCCATTTCTATGGACAAGTATCATGTGAGTGATCACACAACTTGCAGGATTGTCAACTCAAAAAACAATGAAAAGTGCAGGTAAGCTGGAAAGGAGGGTTGAACAGGACACCTGCTGATCTTTTTTAATATCCATTGCAAAGTCTTTCACAATATCAGTAGTGAATATTGAGGATGTACTGGATACCAATGCAGCCAAATGAAACTGACTGTTGGGAGCAAAGCTGTCATCCTATAAAGCCCCTTTCCTTTTGGTCCCCATTCTCTGCGTGGCGTAGTAAGCTTTCCAGTCATTGAAATTCCCTTTAAGCCCACCAGATGGCAGAAGATCATTGCCATGAGTAAGAAGGAGGCCCCATTATGGAGCCTGGACCACAACTTGTTTTGTTGTTATTTATGTATTTATTTGGCTGTGCCAGGTGTTTAGTGTGGCATGCAGGATGGTCCATGTTTGTTGCAGCATGCAGATTCTTTAGTTGCAGCATGTGGGATCTAGTTCCCTGACCAGGGATGGAACCTGGGGCCCCTGCTTTGAGAGTATAAAGTCTTAGCCACTGGCCCCACCAGGGAAGTCCCTGGACTGCAGCTTTGGCTTGAGGGCCCAGCAGCAGGCAGGCTCATAAAATCAGACTATGAAAAGTTACACGAACTGTGTGGGAGAACCCCTGGGTCTCAACTTATCCATCTCAAACTGTACTGAGTCCCATTAGGTCACAGGGATAGAGGTGGGGCGGGGTGGGGCGGGGCGGGACAAGCAGAGTTCCTAGTCTCACTGGGGGATGACTAACCCAGGTGGGCCCATCAAAATCATCAGACTTGTTCTGGGTTGTGGCCACAAAGTGGTCCTTTGTGGCAGGAAAACTTCTAAGGAAGTACAGCAGATCAGTGACAACATGAACTTGGTATCAGGCAAATCTGGGTTTACGTTCTGGCTCTATTAGTGATTAACTGTGTAGTTTGGGACATGTGAACTGAACTTCAATTATCCTTAATTTATCTGTCAAATGGGGGCAATAATATTGACTTTATAAATTCATAGTAGGGAGTGAAGGAAATAGGCAAATAAGACACAGTCTGGAGCCTTAAGAAAGTTCAAGGCCTGACTCAGTGTCAGAATGAGCCGATGGGGGGGACTCCCCTGGCGGCTCCTTGTTAAGTGTCTGAGCTCCCACTGCAGGGGGTACAGGTTCTATCCCCGGTTGTGGAAATAAGAGCTGAGCAGTGCTGCATGGCCACAAAAAATGAACCCATGGGCCTTGGGACCTGATGTTTCCAGGCTTCACGGCCCATCAGAGACCAGGTCCCATCCCCACCTGCTCCAGGTACTCACCTGGGCAAGCAGCTGCTCCTCCTCCTGGGTAGAAAATTCCGTGCGACAGTGGAGAGGGACATCCATCTCGGCCACAATCTCACCAATCCTCCTCTGCATGGCCTCACACTCATCTGCAGACAGGAACCCTTCCAGCACCAGGAATCCATCCTCCTGAAACTGCAGGCAGACAAGCAGGAGACTCAGGCTTCCCCCCACCCTCAAACGTCCTACATGAGGACTGATTTGACCCCTCCCCAAACCAGAAGCCGTCTGAAGGCAGGACCTAGCATCTCGTTCATTGCTCTGCCCCCATCCCTGGCCATGGTGTCTATGTCCAGTGAAGGACAGTGAGTGTTGGCTGCTTGAATAAAGGGGAGTGGAAGCAGAGCTGTCCCACTGAAACCCTCCAGTGGGCTTCAGTCACATAGGGATACAACCTCATTCATTTACCCAACCACCACTGACTGTGCATCTACCGTGCACCAGACATGGCTTTAGGAGCTATAGATCCAGTCATGAGCAAGCCATCCATGATGCCTGCCTCCCTAAACCTGGTCTAAGAAAGGAGATAGACATCCAACAAACCAGCATACAGGGGAATCTATTACACAAAGTATGTTTATCTCCCTGGAATACAACACAGGTGATAGAAAAATATTTACTGACATGGGAATATGTTCTAGATATAGTATGAGATTAGAAAAAAAAAGTCAAGGGGCTTCCCTGGTGGTTCAGTGGCTAAGACTCCCCGCTCCCAATGCAGGGGTGCCCCGGTTCAATCTTTGGTCAGGGAACTAGATCCCACATCCCACAGAACTAAGGGTTCACATGCTACAACTAAAGATCTTTGCATACCACATAAGAAGATAGAAGATCCTGAGTGCTTTGACTAAAACCCAGCCCAGCTAAATAAATAAATGTACTGAAGAGCCAACTCACTGAAAAGACCCTGAGGCTTGGAAAGATTGAGGGCAGGTGGAGAAGGGGGTGACACGACGAGGTGGTTGGATGGCATCACTGACTCAATGGACATGAGTTCGAGCAAGCTCTGGGAGACAGTGAAGGACAGGGAAGCCTGGCATGCTGCAATCCATGGGATTACAAAGAGCTGGACATGACTGAGCAACTGAAGAACAACAAAAAAGCCAAATATAAATTAGTATTCTAATTTGTGAGAATTTGGGCAAATGCTGTCCAGTGGGGTCACACCTGTCCTTCCACAGAGGGTTGCATGAAGGCCCAGTGGACAGCAGGAGTTGTAGGTCCCAGTACTGTGCCTGGAACATAGTAGGAGCATAGGGAAATGTGTTGAATGGGCAATTCTACCATCTGTAAGAGTACATGGAAGAACTATACAAAAAAGATCTTAATGACCCAGATAATCACAATGGTGTGGTCATCTACCTAGAGTCAGACATCCTGGAATACAAAGTCAAGTGGGCCATAGCAAGCATTACATGAACAAAGCTAGTGGAGGTGATGGAATTTCAGTTGAGCTATTTCAAATTCTAAAAGATGATGCTGTGAAAGTGCTGCATTCAATATGCCAGCAAATTTGGAAAACTCAGCAATAGCCACAGGACTGGAAAAGGTCAGTTTTCATTCCAATCCCAAAGAAAGGCAATGCCTAGGAATGTTAAAACTACCATACAACTGTGCTCATTTCACACGCTAGAAAGGTAATATGCAGAATTCTTCAAGCTAGACTTCAACAGTCTGTGAACCGAGAACTTCCAGATGTATAAACTGAATTTATAAAAGGCAGAGGAACCAGAAATCAAATGGCCAACATCTGTTGGATCATAGAAAAAGCAAAGGAATTCCAGAAAAACATCTACTTCTGCTTCATTGACCACACTAAAGCCTTTGACTGTGTTGATCACAACAAACTGTGGAAAACTCTTAAAGAGATGGGGATATCAGACCACCTTATCTGCCTCCTGAGAAATCTGTATGCAGGTCAAGAAGCAACAGTTAGAACTGGACATGGAACGACAGACTGGTTCCAAATTGGGAAAGGAGCACATCAAGGCTGTATATTGTCACCCTGCTTATTTAACTTATATAAAGAATACAAAGAATACATCATGTGAAATGCCAAGCTGGATGAATCACAAGCTGGAATCAAGATTTGCTATTCAGTCCCTCAGTCATGTCAGACTCTTTGTGATCCCATGGACTGCAGCACACCAAGCTTCCCTGTCCTTCACCATCTCCTGGAGCTTGCTCAAATTCATGTCCATTGAGTCAGTGATGCCATGCAGCCATCTCGTCTTCTGTCATCCCCTTCTCCTCCTGCCTTCAATCTTTCCCAGCATCAGGGTCTTTTTTAATGAGTCAGCTGATTACCGGGAGAAATATCAACAACCTCACATATGCAGACGATACCACTCTAATGGCAGAAAGTGAAGAGGAATTAAAGAGCTTCTTGATGAGGGTGAAAGAAGAGAGTGAAAAAACAGGCTTAACACTCAACATTCAAAAAACTAAGATCAATGGCATCTAGTCAGTCCTATGACTTCTTTGCAAATAGAAGGGGGAAAAGTGGAAACAATGACATATTTTATTTTCTTGGGCTCCAAAATCACTGTGGATGGTGACTGCAGCCATGAAATTAAAAGATGTTTGCTCTTTGGAAGAAAAGCAATGACAAACCTAAACAGTATGTTAAAAGGCAGAGACAGCACTTTGCGGACAAAGGTCCGTCTAGTCAAATCTACAGTTTTTCCAGTAGTCACGTTTGGATGTAAGAGTTGGACCATAAAGAGGGCTGAGCACCCTCTTTTTTGGTTTCAAATTGTGGTGCTGAAGACTCTTGAGAGGGTCTTGGACAGCAAGGAGATCAAACAATCCTAAAGGAAGCCAACCCTGAATGTTCATTGGAAGGACTGATGCTGAAGCTGAAGCTCCAATACTTTGGCCACCTAATACAAACAGCTGACTCATTAGAAAATATCCTGATGCTGGGAAAGATTGAAGGCAGGAGGAGAAGGGAATGACAGAGGATGAAATGGTTGGATGGCATCACCGACTCAATGGACATAAGTTTGAGCAAGCTCCAGGATAGTGAAGAACAGGGAAGCCTGGTGTGCTGCAGTCCATGGGGTCACAGAGTCGGACACAACCTAGTCAGACACAACAATTGTGATGGACCTTTTATTTGGCCCCACAGTGCAGCTTCTGGGATCTTAATTCCCAGTCCCAGCATCAAACCTGTGCCCTCCGCAGTGGAAGGGCCAAGTCTTAAGGACAGGACCACCGGAGAATTCCCCGGACCTTTCAGCGACTCAAGGGCTGTGTACCAAAGTAATGTCTCAGCGGAGGGAATGTATGTGTGCGTGCTCAGTCGCTTCAGTCGTGTCCGACCCTTTGCGACCCTGTGGACTGTGCAGCTCACCAGGCTCCTCTGTCCATGGGATTCTTCAGTCCCTACTGGAATGAGTTGCCATTTCCTTCTTCAAGGAAATGTATGGGATGTTTTAATTTCTTTTTTGAGATTTTCTGTAATTGTTTTTTTTTTTTTTTTGCATTTTCCTCTTTCCACCAGGAACAAACCACAAGGGTCAAGTTTTTTCAAACGTCTCCGTCGCTCTAATTCCCAAGGCTTAGCTCTTTCCAGGTGGCGCTAGTGGTAAAGGACCCGCCTGCTAATGCAGGAGACTTAAGAGACGCCGGTCGGATCCCTGGGTCCGGAAGATCCCCTGGAGGAGGGCATGGCAACCCACTCCAGTATTCTTGCCTGGAGAATCCCATGGACAGAGAGGAGCCTGGCGGGATACGGTTCACAGGGTCGCAAATAGCACACAGGCACGCTGGAACGCCCGCGGCTGGTTCCGCAGCCTAGCGCTTCGGGTTAGGGGTGGGATCAGCGGGTCCGCCCCCTCGTCGGTCCCGCCCCTTCTCAGACCCTCGCCCCCGCCCCCTCCCCAGCTCTCAAGACCCGGTGTTTTAGTCTGGTTTTGTCACCTACACGTTCCCACACCACCGCGGGTGCCGTGGCCTGGACGGCCCCTGGCTGTGTGTGCAGAAGTTAGGGGTCGTGGCTGTGAACCGACCACTCTGGGCTTCAGGTTCCTGTTCTGAAAAATACAAGAGGGCGGGGTCGAGTTTCCTGGACTAGTTCAAGTTCTGAGGGGCCCCTTATCTGACCCTCGGGGTCTCCCAACCTTCAGGCCCCTACCTTCTGGAGCTGTGAGGGACTCAGGCAGGCCATGATGACCCAGGGCAGGGCGCAAGGGTGGCGGGTGGCTCTGGGTACCGAGGCCAAGGCTGGAGAGGGAAAAGTTCAGGAGGGGTGAGGGGCGGGAGCCTGGGAAGCCCAAGAACGTTTAACCCTTCCCTGCCCAGAGAAAACTTGAATCCTGGCCTCCCGTCCTTCCCTGGCTTCACCCAGAGAAAACCCAACCTAGCCCCCAGCCCTTCTCCACACCACCCCGCACTGTCTCACTTCTGTCCTCCCGTGGGGCCGCCCTGGTCTCTGCCTCACACCCTGGGGCCATCCCTTGCCCCACCCCCCAGCTAATCCAAGATTAGCCAGTCCTGATCTCTACAAGGCCTTTACCTGAACTGTCCCCTTTCAATTTCTTTCCAGAAACTACTCCTGCTGGCTGTTTACAAGGTGCTATACAAGTTGTGTCCTAGCAGGGTCCCGGCAGGCAGGAAGACACCTGAGTCCCAGTCCAGGTGCCGCCACTGACTGGACCATCCGACCCACGCCTGCCCCTCTTCTGGGTGAGGATTAGACAGTGCCCAGGCCACCAGCAGTCCGTGGGGTCGCAAAGAGTCGGACACGACTGAGCGACTGAATTGAACTGAGGCCACCAGTGGCAACGTGGGATGAGATGGAATGCGGGGTGGGTCTGTCGGCCAGCAGACAGGCTCCCAGCGAGTGGCTTTGCATTCCAAAGGTGGAAGAGGGCCTGGGCGAGGAGTGTCCACCCCCACCCTAGATCCCCCGAGACTCTCTAGGTCCTGAGAGGATTACTCATCTGTCTGCAGCTCTGAGCAAAGTCGAAGATAAAGGGGATCTAATGGGATGGGGGTGGGGGATGGGCCTTCAGAATGAGGGAGAAGGAAGCCAGGCTTCCTGTTCCCCACCCTAGGCCCGAGATGTTGGTGTCTGAGGCTGGCGGTCAGCACACCCACCCTTCCAGCCAGCCCTGCTCAGCAGCTGACAGGGCCATTCTGAAAACTGGCTGCCGCTTCTGAAAACCGGCCACTGGCCTTCCCCAAAGTGACGCTTCCTGAATGGCGAAGGGACAGAGTGTCTTCGGGAGTGAGCATGGGGACTGCTCAGCCCTTGGGGGCCTTGGCCCTGAGTCAAGTCCTGCTTTCTGGGCCACCACAATGGGAGTAGCTGCCTGGGCCCTGCTTCCCCAGAGCAGAGAGCTGGAGGAGGGGCGCCCCCGCTCCCCGCAGGCTTCTGAGGCTAGAGGGTGTGAGGTACCCCAAGGACAGGCTGGTGAGGAAGACACAAGAGAGAACCCTTTGGGGAAACACAGCCAAGACTCTGCTCCCTCGAGGCAGGGAGAGATCCCAGCTGTTGCGGCCCCTTCCCAATCGGTTGCCCCCACAGATCCAGAGAGACACCCGCCGCCTTGTGCCAGGAACACAGAGGGTCCCCCTCTAGTGCTGGGCCAGCAACTCTTGGGGAACCCACCCCCAACAGCAGCCTGACCAGGATGTTATCATGCCCCTGGCCTTACTTTCCCATCCGCAGTTTTGGGGACAAAAGGAGTGCCTCCCGGACACTTGGCAAGTGCCACAGACTGTTCGTTAGCAGGAGCTGTTCTGGGTGGAATGTGAAGGTATTTTTAGTTTATTTTTTGAACGTCCTCAAGTTTTCAAAAAAAAAAATTTCAAAATTGCTGTTATAATCAGAGAAAAGGCCACCAGTGTGGTTTTAAGTCGAGTGAAGAGTCCTGGGTTGGGGGAAGGTGTAGGGCTGGGCCTCCCTGTGATTTGTCCATTCATTCTGCTCAGGCTTTGGGAAGTGGGTGGGTGGTGTTTCCACACAGCTGTTTTTTTCCAAAACCTAACTAGCTCCAGATCGGGGGCTGGGCCACCCCAGAGCTGAGGCGGGAGCACTGTGGGAGAGGTACCAGACCAGACAGGCGAGGGAGACCTCCACTCCTGAGATACAGGAGTGTGGTATGGGGTCACAGCCCGCTGCTCAAAAATCCCACGACAGAGGCAGAAGGGAAGACTCCTGACTCACTCCTGAGGTCACCCGGGCGGGGGGGGGGGTGGGGGGGGTGTTAGTCAAAGTCCATGTGAGGAGGACATACTCTGGTGTGTCCCCATGTTGCCCGAGCAGCAGCTAAAGCCTCATGGTTAAGGCCAAGGTCAGACACAATGGCCGTTTTTCTTCACCAAAAGACCCCTGCCCCGGAGCCCATGTTGGCCCAGCAGGAGTATCACTGGTCCAGGAGGAAGACAGATGACTGACTGATTACCAGGAACCAGGCCCACTGCTGGAGTGGAGCACCTACCAGCAAAAGTGAAGGAATCCCCAGAACCATTCTGTGAGGTTGCCAACACCATCCTGACTGTATAAATGAGGGGACCGAGGACCCCTCAAGTAAAGGGCAGAGCCAGGATCTGAGAGCAACTCTGCCCTTGACCCCAGCGCGGGCCTTCAGCACGTCCAGCCCAGAGGGGCTGTGAGCTGGGTCAGGACTGCCCACGGTGACTCTCGGGCCTGCCTCTGCAGAGCCCTGGAGACTGGTTGCTGGAATTACAAGGACCCGAGGAAAGCAGCGTAGATGTGCCCAATGCACAGATGGGGACGTGGAGGGCTTGGGGAGGGAGGGTCCGCCTAGCTTCACGTAGGGAATGCCTGAGCCGGGACAAGGACCCGAGCCTCCTGGCTCCCACTCCAGTCTTCCTTTCCCTCCCACCAAAGCTCACAAGGGCCCGAACCCTAGGCTCTGGCCGGCAGAGGACGCCTGGCTGCGGGATCCATGCCTGACGGGCAACAGGGGCTGTGTCCAGCGAGTGTCTGGTGGTAGCTGCCTCTGAGGGGCTTCTGGCTTCAGGGGGCAGGTAGGGAAACAGAGTTCCTTATCTTCTCGGAGCCCGGAAACGGTCACTCCAAAGGCTAGACCACAGGGCCGAGCGGACCTCAGAGAGCTGAGGGACGTGGAGACCTCCAAAGGCCACTTTCTGTTATAGGTTTATTTGATATTCAGACCCACGTGTAACGGATTGCTTCATGGTTGTCAGAGGCTAGTGTGCATTATTTCTGAGGATTACATCGGATGACACGGCGCGGAAAACACAAATAGACGAATGGACATAATTGTGAAGACGAGAGACGCTAGAACGTGCCTTAGTGTCCAAGTGATTGATCTAAGGTGGCGGGGACCCTGGAGACTGATCTCAGTAAAGTGAGCTGGCCTTCCCATCACCAGGCGCTGTGTGGGCTGGGCGCCTGGGACAGAAACCGTAAGCAGAACCTGGAGAGCCCGTCTACCCCGGTGGCGACCCCGCCTCCAGGTGTCCCGTGCTGAAGGTGGCACGTCACCAGGTGGGGACAGGGCTGACGTCAGTAGCTGAGGCTCGTGGTGGCACTGGGCTAACTCATGACACGAGGTGGGAAAGCACAGTCCGGGCGAGGTGGCTCCTCTGGGCTCCTTAACACTGCGACAAAGTCAGGGGCGGGGGGGGGGGGGGGCACGGCGGGGAGGGGGGCGGGGACGGAGCACCGTTCATCTGGGGATTAGCTAACCCGAGTCCCCTCCCCTCTTGGCAGTTCCGGAACATTCCCTTTGGCCAACAGCCACAGAAACAAGAGCCTGCCAAGATACATGGAGGAGAAAGAAAACAAGACACCAAAAAAACAAAACAAAATAATCCCCGCACTAGGAGGGGAGAGGGACAAACAGACTCCTGGACCAAGGTCACCGCGGACCGGAGGCATCCTGCAGCCTGCACCCTAGGGGAAGGAAACTGAATTCAGTGTCCTGCTGCTCTGCTGGGGGGGACAGCTGTCCTGTCCCGAGACTCCAACTCACTGGCCTTTAGTGTCCTTTTTTTAAATTTTTTTTTTTTTTGATACCCAAATCATCAATTTTCAAATTTTTAAAAACAAAATTTCTTTCTCCTTTAAAAAAAAAAATCTCAACGGTGGCAGCAAACCCCAGGCCTGGCTTCTGTCTGGTGGCCTGCTTTCCCAGGGGCTGTGCCCCCAGAGCCCAGCCTGGCACCTCTGGGGTGACCGTCCCACAGCTGGTTCACCCTGGACCACTCTGCTCACGTCTGGGTGGGCGCTAAAGGCTGGCGGCACCACCAAGAAAAGGAAAACAGAAACATGGCTACCCTTCCTCAAACAACACCCCCCCCCCCATCTGAGCTGACCTTTCTTGGGAATGTATAAGTTATCTGGAGGGAGGGGGCGGGAGGTGGAGAAAATAAATACCAAGAACTAAGAAGGTGTCCCTGGACCTCTGGCATCCGCTCGGCCTCTGGGGCAGCGATGGCCTCCAGGGAGCAGGCCCTGATTGTCCAAATACTGCGCTCGCTGGGAGACGGACTGCAGGTCTCTGATCTCCCCCTCAGGCACCTGCCCTGGGGAGCACGAGTCTCAAGGAGAAAAGGGGCCAGCCCTTCGGTGCGGTCCTGTCGCCCGGCCCGGCTCCAGCACCCCCGCTGACAGGCTGGGCTGGTGGTCCCTCCGGGGCTCCTCGGTTCCTGGGCCCGAGGCCTCCCTGGAGGTCCGGCTGCAGGCCGCCCGCTCCGGGCCACCCGTGCTCGACGCCCGTGCGTGCTCAGGCCTGCTCCTTGTCGGCCCTCCAGAGCCGCTCCTTCACCTCGGGGGGCAGGGTGTTGAACAGGTCCTCCTCTACCACCAGGCCGCTGCGCTTGAGCAGCGGGCACTCGCCCAGCTCCACGGGCAGGCACTCCAGCCGGTTGCCGCGCAGCTCGATCTGGGTCAGGCTGGTCAGCTCGCCCACCCGCGAGGGCAGCGACTGCAGCACGTTGTTGCCCAGGTGCAGGGCCCGCAGCTTCCGGCACTGGAAGAGCTCAGGGGGCAGCGCCTCGATCTAGAGGAAAGGAGCAGAGGGCAGAGTGAGGCGGGTGATGCTGGGACCTGGACCTCGGGGCCCCCAGCTTCCCTCCCCTGGGCATTGGCACATTCTCTGATGCCCATTTCAGCTACCCCGGACCTCAGGGACCAGCACAAGCTGGGCCCGAGTCTGGCTAACTGCCCCCTCTTCTGCAAGTCTTGGCTTTGCCGTCACTTCCTCGAGGAAGCCTTCCTTGACCTCCTGGTAACCTAAGGCGCCCATGTCCCCCTGACAGCACTGATCCCTCCACGGTAAAACTGCTTGATCTCCTGTCACTGGCAGACCCAGGGAATCTGAGAGGGCAGGGCTGGGTGTGCCATGCTCCCCGCTGTCTCCCAGCACCTGGCACCCTTCTCCACAAAGCAAATCACACTAGCCTGCTGCTACCAGCTCCATCCCCTCCTCTACCACCCAAGGCTTACCAGGAGCCAGACTGGGGGTCCTGCTGGGTTTTATGAAAGCAGAGCAGCCTACTGAGAAAACTATACCCTCAGCTATTTCTGAGAACTAGGGAGAGCTCACCAACAGGGTCAGAATCCCAGCTGTGTCACTTCCCCTTCCTGGGCCTCAGTTTCCTTATCTGTCAAGTCACAGGCTGATGGTGGGTGTGGGGAGCCCAGTCTTGGCCATTCAGAGCCCTCTCCTGATTCTGCGAAGTTTGAATAAGAGGCAACACCCACTTGCTGCTTACTACAGGACAGGTTCACTCTGAGCATTGATGCTATTAACAGTTGAACTCTCAGAACTACCTCTTAAGTACTTTGGAAACACTCGTTCCACTTTACAAATGGGAAAACTGAGGCCCTGAAGGATCCAGCCTGCTGAGAGGTTCACAGCTGGAAAGTGGTGGAGGCAAGACATGAATCTGGCTCAAGAGTCCGTGCTCTAACTGTCCACTCTGTTGGTGGAGCAAGGAGCAAACACTGCAGCTGGCTGGGGACACACGGGAAGAGCCCCATAAAGGCTGGCTTCCTCCCACCCTCCTGTGAGCAATCAGCTCCAGACACGAGCACTTCCTCCGCCTGTTCTCCTGCAACCAGCTCCTTCAGATACGGCGGGCAGGAGAGACCCCTCCAGCAGGGCAGGAGCCAGGGAATGGGTCCTGAGCCTAATAAGGGTGACGGGCAGCTTGCTCTGTCACTGTCCCCATTTTCCCGCTGAGGATGCTGCAGCCGGGCAGAGGCCACGCCAGGAGGGGCACTGTGGACGCTGTAAAGGGGACTCCTGACCTGGGCCAGTAAACCCGCCATTGCTGCGCCCAGTGGTCAGGAAATGGGCAGGGTGGCTTCCAGGTGGGCAGGGACTCCAGGAAGGAGAGAGGACAGATGGGAAGTGGGTTCCAGCAGGACCAGAGCCTCCCAGAGACCCCGCTGTACCCAAAACTGGCCTCTTCCGGTGACACAGACAGTGGCGGGGAGCGGGAAGGACTAGACCAGCGGGCGGCAGGACTGGGGTTCACGTCGGGGCTCTCCCCCCAACACACCCCCTCCCTGGGGCACCCCTGGCTCCGCCGTGAGCTCTCTGCAGGCCTCACGGAGGGAGGGGTAGGTGTCTCTGGTGGCTCGGTCCCCACCCTGGCCGCTCCTGTCCTTCTTCCTGAGGTGTGCTTGCGCACTTAAGGCATGAAGTCGACTCCCATCACCCCAGTCCTGCCCTCTCTCACCTCCTCAGGGACCGCGACGGCTCCCCCATCAGCACTGGCTCCCCCTCAAGCCCACCTGGTCCTTGGGAAAAACAAGACAACCCTCCCAGGAGCCTCTGCGACCTTCCCAACAAACCGCCTGGAAAGACGCCATCTCTCTTGGCCCGCCAGGAGCCGGCTTCTACCCCTGCCCGCCCTGGAAACTACCCGGCCAGAGCCACCCGAGGCCACTCCTCATCCACTGGACCTGCATCTGTTCTGTCATCACCCGACTCCCGCACGGGCTGTGCGCCCACCTGCCTGGCCCTGCTCTCCACTGTCCCTCCCGGAGGCTCGAGCCACACTCCCCTGGCCCGCACCCTCTAGCCCACCTCCCACCCCTCCCAGACTCAGGAAGGACCAATCTTCACCCAGGAGCCTGGGGGATGACTCCCTGAGCTTCAGGTTCAGGCGGACTCAACCTGGTCCCCTGGACATCCCAACACGGGACCTACCCTCTCCTCTCTGAAAACCCGTGCCTCGTCCTGCCTCAAGGACCCTCCAGCCACCCAGGCAGCCACATGAGAAACTCTGACCTATGTCCTGTGGATGCTATGCCCCAGGTCTCCCCCAGATCCACAAGCCTCACCCACTCCTGACAGCTGCACAAGGGTTTTTTTTTTAAGATTTTTTTTTTTTATGTGGACCATGTGTAAAGTCTTTTGAGTTTGTTACAGTACTGTTTCTGTTTTAAGTTTGGGTTTTTTGGCTCTAGGGCACATGGGACCTTAGCTCTCCAACCAGGGATGGAATCTGTACCCTCTGCAATGGAAGGCCAAGTCTTAACCGCTGGACGGCCCTGCACATGGGTTTCTATAGCTCCAGACCTCTGTCCTGCCCCGCCCCGCCTTCCTGGAGCTCCAGAGAGAGCCAGCTCTCTGCATTCCAAGGCAGACCCTTCCTCCCCTGCTCAGTCAGCAGGAATTTGGTGGACAGTTTGCCCCAAGTCAGGCACTGGACTGAAGAGCCAAGATCCTGGGCATCAGAGCGCAGAGGGAAGGAAGCGACGCAAGGCAGGTAATCTGCAACCAAGTGGGAAAAACAAGATGCCTTCAGCCCTGGCCTCGGGGGGCGGGTGGGAGGAGTCCAAATTCCAGGGGCTCAGCTCCCCGCTCTGCCCCTGGCTTTCAGTTCCCTGTGGACAGAACCTGATAGATGTTCCCTCTCCTCTTCACCTGGCTAACTCCTCCTCATCCCTCAGGGCCAGGTGAGACGTCCCCTCCTCCAGGAGACCTGCCTGCCCTGGGCTGACCCCAGGCCCTGGGTGCTAACTTTGAGTTACCAGTTACCCTCTGTCCCTGCAAGAGGTGAGGTCAGGCTGGGCTAGGGGGCCTTGTTGGTTCCTGGCCCCCGCCCCACCCCAGGCTCCTCGCTCCCCACTAGGAGTGCACAGAAAACACTTGCCAAATCAATGAATGAATATTCCAATAACCACACAAGGAATATGTGCCCTCAACAAGGTATTCGTTAGCATGACTTGAAACCTGAGAAAACTGAGGTGAGGGCCTGGGTCGACCCACACTCGCCCTGCCCTGTCCAGTTCACAGCTAGTAGCCTGGGGGTGGGGGTGGGGGGGTGGGATGGAGGAACCAAGGAACCGCCAGGCCCAGAGGGAGGAAGGAGCAAGGGAGGGCTCCCGCTGAAAAGGAGGAGGAGCCCGACCAAGCCTGGCTGGAAGGAACTTTCTTTCCCTACAAAGGCCTCTGGGATTCCAGGGGACAGGGACAGGACGCGGCGAAGCACCATGCCGAACTGGGGGCCAGAGGGTCCCCTTCCTTAGGGACTGCGTGCCTCACCGCCACCACTTCCTGGAGGGTGACCTCAGTCAACACGCGACCCGACAGCTGTGCCTGCAGTGAGGAGCTGGGGGGACAGGGGTGCCGGGCTGGGGGCCGCCACACCCTCCTCCAGAGGGTATCTGGCGGGGAGCCGCCTGGTCCCCTTCCACATGCTGAAGGGAGGATTGTGGTTGTCCCCTCCTCCCCAAGTGGGGCTGCTCCCAGGAGTCCAATTTTCCTGACCGCTGGGTGGCTGGGGGGCCCTGGGGGCGGCTTCTCTAGGGTGAAGCAGCCTGGGATCTGACCTTCACCCCTGCACGTTCTCACACGTGCACACGGGTATAATTTGGGGGGGAAAGCAAGGATTTGCCACAATCTCTGGTCTCCAGGGAGAGAGGCTTGGGGAAGATTGGAGGGGTTCTAGCGGTCAGAGGCCTGGGGTGCCTGAGACTCCTACGTGAGTGATGCTGGACAGGGCGTGTCCCTCCCTGGAATGGGGGCATTTCAGGGGCTACTGCCTCCTGGCTGCTGGAACAAGCCCCTGCTGTCCTCCCTGAAACCATCTGCCTCCCTTTGAGAGGGTTTCCACCTAGAGTAGGAACTAGGAAGACTTCCTTCCAGCATCAGGTCCCCAGCAGGAGTGGGCAGGGCAAGCGGAAGGCCCCCCAGCAGCTGTGGCAGAGGCCAGGCCACAAAGCCACAGGACCACCTGCCCTCAACCAATACCCGCCTGCTTCCACAGAGGGGCCCTTGGGTGAGGGGGCTTCCCCAGACAGGCAAGGGGTGGGTGCATAGGAACCGAAAAAGGTCTTGATCACCGCCAGGGTGTGGCCTTCGGCTCTGCAGGCCTACGACGGTTTGCACAATTTCCTCTCCAGAAAGACAGGTGGTGACAAGCCAGCCCCAGCAGAGCCCAACTCTGCCCTTCACCACCCTCGACATGCAGAGAGGGAGAGGGTGTGAGTGGCTCTGGGAGGTGCACCAGCCGCCCACACAGTTTCCATCCCCAGTGGGCCCATCCTGGGCTCCAAGTCTGGTCCAGGACAAGCTGAGGAAGACACCACAAGTCCTAGGCCGAGTCCCGCCTCCCACGACCGAGCCATGACGGAGAAGACTCCTGCCTATGGACAGCCCCATCTCCGAGGAACCCGCCCAAAGCCACCTTGGGGACCGGCACACCATCCCTCCTAGCAGAACTCGGCCACATCCCGCGGTCGAGACAGGATCCCCAGCCCATGGATCCTGATTCAGCGGGTCTGGGCTGGGGGAGCAGGTGGGGGAGCCACCTGGAAATCTGGATTTTCATCCAGCTCCCCCAGGTGCTTCTGGGAACCACAGCTGCAGACCCCAGACTCAGGAGCGCCAGGCTGTCCCAAGACACACCCCCGCCCTGCCACGGGCCACTCACCCGGTTGGCCGTGACAGCCAGGTTCTGGAGGCTCTGCAGGAGGCCGATGTCGGCAGGCAGGAAGGTCAGGTTGTTGTGGCTGAGGTCCAGATAGCGCAGCTTGCGGCAGTAGAAGAGCTGGGTGGGGATCTTCTCAATCTTGTTGCGGTTCAGGTAGAGGCGCTCGAGGTTGGTGAGGTTGCCGATCTGGATAGGGATGTAGGCGATGTGGTTGTACCACAGCTTAAGGCAGGTGAGGCGGTGCAGGTGCTGGAAGCTGATGATCTCCTCGATGGTCTTGAGGTTGTTGTCCTTGAGGTCGATCTCCTGCAGGTTGTGGAGGCTGAAGATGGAGTGGGGGATGCGCTCCAGGTCGCAGCGGATGAGCTCCAGCTCGGTCAGGTTCGCCATCTTCTTGAGGCTGTTGAGCACGATGAGTTTGGTGCCCTCGTTGTTGATGGACAGCTTCTGCAGGTGCACGCCCACGTCCGTGACCACCTGAGGCAGCTTGCTCAGGTTGCTCTTGAGCCGCAGCACCTTGAGCCGCTTGAGCTCACGCAGCCCATCGATGACGATGAAGCGGTTGTTCTCGGCGCTCAGGTTGCCCGTCAGGTGCAGCTCCTCCAGCGTCTTCAGGCTGTAGATCCACAGCGGGATCTCCTTGATGTCCGTGAACTTGATGTGCAGCGCCCGCAGGTTCTCACGCAGGAAGGCCAGGGCGGGCGCCTCGATTTTGGCGGCTGTATGGTACAGCCACAGTTCCTTGAGGCCCGTGAGCTGCGCGATGCTGGGCGGGATGGTCACGTCAGGGATCAGCTCCAGCTTCAGCACCTCCAGCTCCACCAGGTCGAACACCGTGTCAGGGATGCCGCTGAGCATGAACAGGTGCAGTTCCAGCTTGTCCTGCGCGTTCTTGGTGAGACGCTGGCGCAGCTTGTCCAGCGTCCACTCGTTGTTGAGGTTCAGCTGCCTCAGCTTGTTCTCACTCACCTCCGACAGGAAGACAGCAAAGCGCTTCGAGTAGAGTGGGTCATACTGGTCGATGAGGTGCAGCATGAAGGCGAAGTCGTTCTTGACGTCAGGGATGTCACTGTAGCTGCTCTCCTCGCGGATGGACTCGAACGAGTACTTCTTCAGGGAGCGCCGCAGCATCCACCAGAGCGTATACATGCAGATGAGGCCGTAGAAGATGACCAGGCTGATGTAGAAGGACGCCAGGATCTTGAAGAGCGTGGCCAGTGGGTGGGCGCATCGGTATGTGCGGTAGCCCGTCAGGCTCTCAATGTCCACCGTGCAGTCCACGTCGAACTTGATGTTGTGCACGTAGTAGACCGTGTAGCAGATGATGAGGATGAACTTGATCACCTTGATGATGGTTTGCCGCATGTACAGGCGGTACACGATGTCCCCCTCCTCCACGTGGGTTCGGAACTTCTTCACCTTCTCGAACAGCGCCTTGGCCTGCTCACCCTCCTTCTTGTCCAGCACGCCTGTCTCCGAGCGGTCCACAATGCCCTGCTCGATCCGAGACTTGGTCCGCTGCAGCATGGGCACGGTGGCCTCCACGTCCTCGCTGACTGTCGATGACTTCTTGTCCATGGAGCCGTTCATCTTGCTGAAGGCTGGCTTGGGGTCGCTCTCTTCCACCACCGTCTCCGACAGGGCCCGCGTGGTCCAGGGCGAGTCGAAGCACTTGAGCAGGATGGACACGAAGTGCTCCAGCTTGGAGCTGGTGCGTGGGAACTTGAACCAGAAATTGCTGCAGGCCAGGAAGATGAGCGTGTGCAGGAGCACCAGGTAGGGGAAGTACTTGGCGAACCAGTGCAGGCGGTTCTCATAGCACACGGCGTCCACGTAGTTGTACTGGTGCCGGTCCAGGTCATACTTGATGCCGGTGGGGCCGGTGTCGGGGGTCGGACCGATGGTGGAGTTGGGGTAGGGGGGCTCTGGGCCGGGGGCCGCCCAGCCCCGGAACGAGTCGTTGCAGGAGTCCTTGGTGACCCACTTACAGGGCAGGCAGATCATCTTGTCCTGGGTGACCTGCAGCGTGCCCCCGAAGACAGCGATCATCAGCATGACAATGGAGATGTAGTCCGTGAAAACGTCCCACCACGGCTTCAGGATCCGGTACGCTGGCTGTGTGTCCGCAAAGTAGCGGAGCTCTGTCACCGGAATCATGGTTCAACCTGAAAGGGACCACAGGAGGGGGTTACTGAGGGGTGGCAGGGCTTTCTGAGACCTGGGGGGCAGGAGCAGGAGTGTATGGACCCATTGTCCAAAATTCCACCTCTAGGCTAGCTGTGAGTCACACTAGCTGGGCAACACTCACAGGGCAGCCCACGGAGTGGCCTTGGTCCAGAAACCAGATGGTCACTGGGTGGCTGGGAAACCACCAGAGGGAAGGTGGGCAGCCTCCCCATTCCACAGGCAGGAAGGCTGCATGAAGTCCGGGCCATGCTGACAGATCACTACAGAGCCTCATAGGGACCCCCGCCTTCCAGCAGGAGCAGTCCAGAAGTCCTGTCTAGACCCCATCCTGTTAATGACAAGACCAACCAGAGGGGCCAACTGAAAACTTCCAGTTCCTTCAGAACCAGGTGCCATGAAGCCACCCCAGTGATCTTAAGAGTGGTTGTGCAGCTTTGGGGATCTTAATTCCCTAACCAGGGATTGAATCCAGGCCATCTGCAGTAGGGGTCAAGTCCTAACCGCTGGACCACCAGATTTATTCAAAGCCCCTGAAGAGATTTAGTCAAAGTATGAGAAAAGTCAAATGCAAAAGAGGGAGTGAAATATGAACTAGCTTCTATAGAACAAACAAGGAAGCTGAAAACAGTCCACGTGTGTGTGTGTGTGTAAATATGCCACACAGGATTCTGGGCATGTGGGGAGAGTGGCAGGAAGGACAAACACGCAGCAGGCTGTAATGACGGGTGCCTGGGGGAGGGGCCGGGCAGCAAGGACTAGAAAGCAGGATGACATGGTCACACACTTGGGGCATTTATGTCAGACTGTTTCCGGCTGTGCATCCACGTGTGTTTGTAAAGAAATTTAGAACAGCAGCAGATTCTCCCCCTGCAGAGTCCCACTCGGCAGGTCCTGAGTAGAGCCTGGGAGTCTGGTTTTTTAATGCTTGACTTCAAGGACACTAGTGCTTGGATAAGAGGCCACATTCAGGAAGTGCAGCCGGGGGAGGTGTGCAACAAAATGAACCCGAGAAGAAACCCTGAATCCCTGGGCTGGCAGGGAGCACCCTGCTGGGACACGTCACTCTTACAACGCTGCTCGGACCATGAGGCTGTAACAGACAAGAGAGAGACTAGGTGTTCACTGGAGAACAGTCAGGAAAATGTAAAGTATTATGGACGGGAAAAAAAAAACCCTGTAAGAACACCGCCCAGAGTCACCCACCCCTGTTAACTTTTCACTGAGTGATAACCTTCCAGTCCTTTTGCAAATAAAATTATGATTTTGGGGACCTCCCTCATGGTCCAGTGACTAAGACTCTGCACTCCCAACACAGGGGGCCCGGGTTCAATCCGTGGTTAAGGAACTAGATCCCACAGGCCACAACTAATACCCGGTGTGGCCAAATAAAAACTTATGGGTCTGTGGGGAGAGGCACAAAGGTGCCAGGTTATGGGACTGGGGCCCTTATTTTGATTACTGATAGTATTAATACTGACAAACACTTCATAGGACAGGGCCTCCCTGCAAACACCAGATGCTCATATCATCTTGGGCATGCCAGGACAGGTAGGGACAGGAGGAAGGCCAACCTAGACCCCTCGAGGGAAATCACGGTGCTCAACAAATAGACATGTGCCAGGCACCAGGCTAAGCCCTTACCATGGGGTCCACCTTGTGGAGTCGCTTTGATGTCCAGATGCAGGGCCCTATCTTTGGCCCTATTTCACAGATGGGGACAATTGAGGCTCAGCAGCATCACCTGCCCAATGTCACTCTACAATCAGGGCAGAGCTGAGACCAAACTCCCCACTCGAGTTCTCACCAGGGCTCAGGCTCACTGTCCCCCCTGCTCAAGGCCCCACACAGGGTAGTGCCAAGAGGTGGAGCCCAGGAGCCCAGCTTCCTGCCCCGCTCCTGCCAGGATTCCCAGAGCTCAGGTCACCGTGGGGCCAGCAGACACCACCACCCGCCCCGGGCTGGCGGCTCCAGCCCAGGGGGTCGGCCCTTCTGCTAAGTGCTCGCATCGCAGGAAGGCCCTCTAATGACCAGCTGGCTCCTCGTGCCACCCACACTCCTGGGCATCCAGGGGAGGCTGCTGAATCACACAGCCAGGCCCCCCTCCAGTTGAACAACACCCCGACATTCCTTCCTCCCTTCCTGGCTCCCCAAGTCCACATCCAGGCAGGCGCCCAAAGACTGGGGACCGGAAGGGAGGAGGGGACGGGCCCGAGGGCATGCGAGAGCCTGCCCCTGGAAAGTCCGGGGCTTGGACCGCGAGGCAGGATGCCAGGCACTGGGGGTGGGGGACGTCTGTGACCAGGCAGGATGTGGTTGCAGCCTCGCTGCTTCGGGGGAGTGGGTGTGTCACGCGACGGAGAACAGCCTGCCTCTCGCACCAGGAGGACCGGGCCCTGCTGGCCTGGGGCTTTGCGTACGTTGTTTTGGGTCTGAGGTGGGAGGCCCATTCTCCGTCACAGGTGAGGGGCCCGAAGGCTCCGAGAGGGAGACCATCCCATCCACACAGTGTGTCTGGCTCCTCCTGCCCCCCCAACACTTTCCTTCTGAATTCTCTGCAAACCATGGCTACACCTCCCTGCTGAGAAGGGGGCTTCGTGGAGGGGACAGTCCTGTGATGGTCCCGGGGGCTCCTGGCACCTCCTCAGCCCAGGGAGAAGACACAGAGGTTGAGAGGGGTAAGGCCAGGGGCCCAGGCCGCACAGCTGAGAAGGGCAGGCCTGGCCTCGTGGCAGGGGGGACCTGGGGAGGTGGGGGGTCACTCTCTAGCTGCACCACATTTCGGCCTCTGCCACCAACTCACTGTGGGATTCTGGACAAGTCCCCGCCCCTCTCTGATGGCGTTTTGGGGGAAATGAGGAAAGAAGGCACAGGTACCAAAGCCCAGGCTTTCATCCCCAGGGGGCCAGTGATGCAGCACCTTCCCCGCGATGGGTCCCCAAGAGGAGACGGCCGGGTGGTCAGGGCAGGTTGCTTTCTGGGCTTTGGGAAGGGCCCAGGGAATGCCACGCTTCTAAAGCGCTGTGTGCAGAGAGGGCTGCGGGCAGCTTGGGCTGGTGTCATCTACCCTCAACCTCCGCCCAGGTGCTGCTGGAGGGCGAGGGTCTGCCGCACACAGCAGGCGTTCAACGCAGGTATCAAGAGACCGCCGAGAAGGCAAGGGGAAGAAGAGGGACTGGGAAGGGCATGGCCTGGCGGGGTTGGGGGTGGGGGCCAAGGAGGAAGCTAAGGCAATTGTGGGCGCCCCTCCCTCCCGGTTCCTGCCCAGCCCTCCCCAGGGGAAGGAGCGGAGCCCCCTCAGGCAGGGAGGGCCAGTGCAGGGACCTGCCCCCAGAGCCGGTGACTCAAGGTGAAGAGACACCCACAGCTGGAGCCACTCCCTGTTCTGAGAATGAGGGCCCAGCCCAGAACCCTCGGAGCCCAGGAGTGCACTCTGCTGGCACCCTCCCTTCTCAAAACTGTGTTATTGCTGTAAAATACACATAACCTATTTGAGTGAAGGACGTTCGTTCTGTTGCGCGGCCATCACCGACCACTCATCTTCAGAACTCTTCTCGCCTTCTAAAACAAACTGTCTCCACTGAGCACTGACTCCCCCCTCCTCCCACCCCAGGCCCTGAGCACCTCCATTCTTTCTGGCAGTATGAATCGGACTACTCCGGGGACCTCACATAAGGAGATCGTATGCTATTTGTCCTTTTGGGACTGGTTTCGTCCACTTAACATAATGTCCTCCAGGTGCATCCATGTTGTGAAAGTGAAATTCGCTCTTGTCCGACTCCTTGCAACCCCATGGACTGTAGCCTGCTGGGCTCCTCTGTCTGTGGGGATTCTCCAGGCAAGAATACTGGAGTGGGTGGCCATGCCCTCCTCCAGGGGATCTTCCTGACCCAGGGATCGAAACTGGGTCTCCCACATTACAGGCAGATTCTTTACCATCTGAGTAGCAGGTGCCAGGAAAAGGAAGGAATCACCTTCCTTTTCCAGGCTGACTAATACTCCACACGCCCATTTTACAGATAGGGAAACCGAGATTCGGGGAGAGAGGTCATGTGCCCAGCATCACACTGCCTGTCACCTTCAACCCAGGCAGTGCGTCCATCCCCTTCCTGCACTGAGGCCTCTGCAGCCAGGGCTGCCCCCAGCAGAGGTGTGCAACAGCTTCTCTTTGGGGCCTGCTTCCCCATCAGGAGAGGAATACAGAATCTGTCATGGGGGTGCCCACGTTTTGCATAAGGCAGTCAAGAATCATGGGGCGTGTGATCCAGGCTTCGGCTCACCCCAACACCTCCCTGCCCACTGTCATCACCCAGACACTCATTCATTGTCCTGGCCACCCTCTATAGCCAGCAGGGAGGGGGAGGCGCCTCCAGCAGCCTGGACTTGGTCTCTCCATGATAAAATGCCCGTAGTAACAGATGCCCTGCCAAACTCTCAGGACTATCGGGGAGTCAGAGGAGTGAGGTTTCCCAGACAACCTGTGTCAGGGGACCTCAGGCGAGTGGAGAGCAAGGAGTACAGAGATGGGGGCTTAGAGGGAGGGCCAGGTGGGCTCTGCCACTCAGCAGTGGAGTGAGCTGGGCAGGGGACTTCACCCCTCTGAGCCTCGGTGCCCCCATCTGTGGAATGAGGCTGAGACAGGCACAGACCTGGCCCCCGATGGCGATCCTGACTTCAGCAGACAGCTGATGGGTGGATGAAAAGAGCACAGAACCAGAGCATGATGGAAGAAAACAGAAAAAGGAAAAGCGCCCGCGACGCTGGCCCTGACACCTGGCATGAGGACAGAGTTAGGTGAGGCTGGGCACACATGAGGCGGGCAGTAAGCAGATCCTGGTCCCAGCAAGAGGCCGCTAGAATGCAACTGGGCCTTCTCAGCAGAATAAAGGAGCTCTGTCTATAATGCCATTTTGAAAATAAAGCGAGATTCAGAACAATAAATAAATACATTGCCATGTTGATAAACCCTGACC